TTGTAACTTTAATAAACACCTTTAAGACTCAATTTGACAGACTGAATTGACTTGTAACTTTGATTCAGCTTATTAAGACTCAGATTCTGGGACGTTGGTGGAATCAAATATTGCCATTCATCTTTGAATTCGATTTGTAACTTTAATAAACCCCTTTGAGACTCAATTCGACAGACTGAATTGGCTTGTAACTTTAATTCAGCTTATTAAGACTCAGACTCTGGAACCAGATATTGCTATTCATCTTTGAATTCAATTTGTAACTTTAATAAACTTCTTTAAGACTCAATTCGATGAACTGAATTGACTTGTAACTTCGATTCAGCTTATTAAGACTCAGATTCTAAAATATTAGTGGAATTAGATATTGTCATTCACCTTAGTAACTTGTAAGAATTGCAATAAAAAACAAGACTTATAATTGGCTATTTGACTCTGGTAATCCCTCACGTGGACTTAAAGTTATTACCAACATTATTTAATTATCGTCTGCTTTACTTATTGTTATTAAGTTATCTCTAACAGCATCACCTGTAGTTGCACTACCCTATTCTCACCCTATTAATATTAAAGCCTTCATTTCAAAGTGTCATGTTCTTTTCATTTCTCCAAGATTATCTTTTATCACCTATATATCATTGGAGTTAAATTAGCCTTTATCCTTATTATTTTCTTAAGCTCTCCTATTAATGATTACAGTATGTATTTATAATCAAGTATATAACTAATATAAATATTATAGTGATACAAATATCACAGATCAAATGTAGAGACATAAAGCTTTCAAAGCTTCTTCACTAGCAAATAATTGAAAAAAATTAGAAAACTTATCATTTCTAAAATTGCAAAACAGATAGTAGCACGTAAGCACTTTTGAAGATATGGATTTATTAAAAACTTCTGTAACAAATGTTAATAAAATCATGATCTTTTGAACAAAGTTTTGACAAAATTCTTAACTATTTTAATGTCAGCACCTCCTCACTTAACTACTTGTGTTATTTGATGTCTATTTTAATTCTGGAGCCTTTTATATTTTAACCTTTTCTATAAGTTTTTGTACAAACCAAACACACCAAACATTTAGCCAAAAATTTAATAACGTTGAACGTATTGACATTTATAATGATAAAAATATCTGCAGAACAAGTATTATATACAACTTATATCTTCTATAATATAAGGCACCGAATAACTATATAAAATTTTTAGCAATATAACTATCATATTTAGTTCAAATTATATTTTGTGAATTCAACACAGTAAAAATTTTGAAGTAATAGTCAAAGTAAAAGTTAAAGCGAAAGTCAAAAAGCAAGTCAAAATAAAAATAAGAATGAAGGTTAAATGAAAGTCAAATGAAAGTCCTAATGCTCATTATTGTAAACATAACTTTATAGACAATCAATTTTAGACGTTATGAAGCTAGCAAAAAATCTTTTTTCTAGACAATGTGATACTATGGATCATGAGAACCATTGAAAGATTTGATTGGTTCAATATTACATAAATGTATTTATAGAGAGCTTATTATAAATGGGCCAAAAAAATAGCATGCATTTACGGAATAAAGAATGTACATTTATCTATAAATTCTACTATAGACCGAGCTGATATTATATATTTAGAAAGGTGCTGCATTTAGGGGAGATGCATTTAGGAAGTCTGACTGTAGTTAAAATATTAGATATATTTATTATAGAATATATTTAATTGATACTAGGGGATATTGATATCTGGGGTACTATATCTCAAAACCTGACTAAGAAATAAGGTCAAACATACTAAGTAAAAATGTTCAGAACCCCCAAAACCTTGTATAACCTAAATTTGGACCATTATATTCACTTTATTTTGGTGTAAAACTGTACCCTAAACCTAAATTTTAGTAAAAACTAGTATATCTCAAAAACCTGACTAAGAAATAGAATCAGGTATACTAAGTAAAAATGTCCAGAATCCTCATAACCTTGTGTAATTTAAAATTTAAACTATTAAATCTGACCTCTATTTTGGTATTAAACTGCACTCTAACACTAAATTTTAGCAAAAAACTATTTTTTATTAAAAAGTAGGAGGTGGATATCAATATCTTCCAGTGTCATATATATATTTTGTTTATTATATTATTACAGTATATATTAGTATTATATATATTGTGGGTGTGGCGATAGTGAAGTTGGCAGGTTGTCGTACCTCCAAGCAGCAGGACTAGAGTTCGAATCCTACTAGCAACGAATATTTGAATTTATAGAAAATGCATTTGAAAACTTGTATTCTATTGGGTTATAAAACCTGTAATGGTGGTCGTACCAGCTTGTACTGGAAGGTAGTGAAATATGTAGTATGATATATAAGTTATACGAAACCTGAGTGAAGCTACCGGATAAATCTAGCAATTTACAGGATACGAGAGCCTGCTTAGCAAGACCAGAGTGGAGAAGTAGCACAAATCTTTGATGGTTACTATGTAAAGAATAATCAACCGGATACTGAAAAACTAGACAGGACCGAGATGTTTGACAAGGCACTATACCAACCAGGCTGTCAGATAATCAGAGGAAGGGTTTCGCCCTTTCAGACCATCAGATTGGGAGTTTGGGTTTCTGAAAGTATGGGAGAGAGTCCATAAAGTAGATACCGGGGTTTAGATGAACTCTACAAGGGTAGTAGTAGATAACTGTAGTGGCCTCGGCTTGCAAGTACTTGTCCTTGGACTCGGTATAAGTTACCAAAAAGGCCTAGTCTGGAAATGTGTGGGATATAGAAAGATTAGGAGATATATACTACACCCTCCCTAGGGTAACCCAGTAAGTATGAGAACCCTACTGGGTTATCTATCGAATTAAAGTACAAGTAGTGTAGCACATATCAATCTGTGTGGTCTTCAATGAAGCAGTATAAGGTCATAGGTTGGCGTAATTAAGGTGGTGATACAAGATGGGAGATACCAGAGAGTTTAATTAGATAGCTCAAGTAATAGTGAGTTATAGATACAGCATTTAGTATAGACCCTAGTAATAGATAGCTACTTAATTAAATGTTCAAAAGGTGCAGATATGATTAGAATGTACTCTTGTTAACCAAGAATGTACTACTAATATACCTAATAAAAATTTGCCCTTCTGCGATATTGCAAAGGTAAAAAAAAAAAAAAGTTTTATATATATTTAAATAAAATATTATATAGCATTAATATAAAAACATTTTAATTGGCTATTGGAAGTATGGCACAGTTACATGACATTATATAACCTCAGGTGATACAAGATTACACAAAAGAGTCCTTTGGATTACACAAAAATATTACACAAGAAAGTAACACAAGTTCACCTTTTTCCTCTATATAAATACCTTCTTTTCTCATATGAACCTCTAATTTTCTTACACAAACTCTAAATGTTTTAAATACAAAATATTATTATCTAATTCTCCCTTACAAATTATAAACATAATAAGTAATGTTTATATTCACCTACTTCACCCAGCACAATCACCTTTTTTACCCAATACAATCACTTACTTCCTCTATACAAGTTCCCTTCTTCATTTGCCAAGTATTACTCATTTACTGTACATTGTGTATCCTCTCTATGGGTAAAAAGATATATAAAAGATGCCTTTTCCCCTCTCTGCCAATTCTATAAGTTTCTATACTTTACTTAGACTCTGTTCTCTTTATACCCTTCTTGTAAATATGATATTCCCCCTCTAGAATAATTTCTACAGGCAAGGTTTATCCTGTGTTCTTGTATGAAATAAAGCTATTCTATATATTGTTACTATCTCGAACCGTTTGCCTCCTGCTGTATAGTTAAGTGAACAACTACACATCCACCCTGTGTATATTTGCAAAAGTCAATCACTGCACTGGGAGACCTTGTTACTTAGTTGTATTTTACTAAGAAGGCTACAACCCTGTAACACTGTCTTAAATTTGGCCACTTAAAATTTTATGGGAGTGCTAATAAAAACCAAGCAATTTTTTTTTAAGTAAATTTTTTTTAAACTTTGAACTAAAATATCTAAACAACTATTAAACCAAACTTGATAAAATTTTTTTTTTAAAATAAAAATTTTTTATCAAGTTTGGTTTAATAGTTGTTGAAATTAATTTAAAAATTTAAAACTCACTAAAAACAAAATTGCTTGGTTTCTACTGGCACCCCCCATATGTTTAATTTTGTTATCTTGGTAGTCTACTAACCAGAAATAACGAAGAAATAATAACGCAAACAATATTAAGTAACAATACCAAAAACAATAACTAAACAAAACTCCGTGGTCCAGAAAAACTTGCGGTCTAGAAGTTTTTTCTTGGTAAATTTCTGTCGATCGTCACGTGTTAATGAGGTTAACAATTCTGGGGATCGGTATATTCGGCAAATCGGAGTTTGTGCTGTCAAGTTCTGAACACAGAATCAAGTGTTAGAAACAAGAATATTAATTTAAATGGTCAAAACAGGTTATTATTCTGGTCGAAAAATCCAACGCATTTATTATTGCGGTTAAAGCTAGCTTAGAAAGTAAAGCCAGCTATACTTACATCGGAATTACGGAATTATGCGCATAATGATCAAGAATACTTATCCCATTTCTCATTTTCTAAAGAATTCATGTTATGTGTCATGGGCCGTCGCTCATTTATCGACGATAATGCGCTGTTACTTTGATCAGTTGCCATATCAGATATGGTATAGTCCCGTGATAATAATAGTATATATATATATATTTATTATAGTTAGAATACTTACTTTTGTGCAGCTGGAACTTCTAACTTTGTCATAAAATACATAAAAGGAACTTCTCCTTGTAGAAGCTAACTAAACCCTCTATATAAATATACATTAGAGTTCCTTCTTTTACTTTCACAGAACTATAATATTAATTAGGAACACTAAATACTAGTTTCATTTGTGTCAATGGAGATCTCGCTGTAAGATTTAACACCCGATTCATTTCCAGCATACCCAAAACAAACTTGATGCCGTATGTATGATATGCAGAGAACTCCCTCGGCTTCTTCTTCGCAATATTCAGCTTCACCTCCATATTATGCTGCAAATCAACCTCCTATAACACCAAATCCTCCACGTCAAACAAGAACAGACCAGATCGTTCAGGTTAGTATTCAGTACACATTAGCATGTTTTTTTCTTTTTTATACGCACTATTTCCATTATGACTTGGAAAGCCGAAAGCTAACTTAGTTGTATAATCTGATCTTTTCAAAAAACATAGAGCTTTTATACAAAAGTTGCCCAAGTAGTCACCCACGCGCGTCTCGTACAATATGATAGCCAGATAAGTGGGAGAGGTCCATCAAGTGCCAACGTAGTTTTACCCTCGCGCCAGCCTACACATCCTAAGAGGCACAACAGATGGGTACATATAAATCCATTCACAATAAAATGATTATATGTTCACTAAAACAAGAATTAAATACGATTCTTTTCTAATGATATTTATGATAACTTAATGATCAGTTTAATCTAGAACTATGGGATTCAGATATTTACAAAGACGGCCTCAAATCTTGGCGTCAGGCATCCCAAGCATCTACAGGAACTGTACCACTTCCTATGATAATCGAATTTTTTCTGGATGTGTCAGAGTTAAATAAAAATCAAATTCTCGTTATAACAGATGAGATTTCAAGGAGGCGAAGAGTTGATTTGCACAATTTAAGTGGGTCTAACGAGAACGGTAAATCAAAAAATATTATGTTGGAACGTTGGCAATTGACTTTAAGGTGGCGTTAAATTGAAAATTTGTATAAGCCGTTTCTATCAGGCTTTCAATTTGCTCATCATAAAATCCGCATAAATTCCATAATAAATAGCCATCCTATACCTGATCCACCACCGGACCTACCTGTTGTCTATAAAAAATCAATCGCTTTTTTTCGGTCATTGTATGCTTACGTTAGGCTGTTGCCAGCTTATCGCCTTTTTAGACGAATAGGAAAAAGGAAATTGAGCGATGCATTGAAAATTGATTATAGGTTTGTATTGCCAACTAGCGGAATTCAAGATCATATTGGTATAGGTCAGTGTTTTTCTTGAAATTTAGAGTTTTACTAGGATTTTTATCTATAAATGTTGGATCTTTATATAATTTCAAATTTCAGACGTGCCTATAATAGAGGGAGAATCAAGACCAACATCAATCGAATTTAAATTTAATCCCATTGATACACCTTTAGGGTAATAATTATTTGGTTAAATATTTCAAACTAGTAAAATAATTATTTCTCATTAAAAATAATCTTTTATATTATAGCGTGTTATCATTAAAAGTCAATTATAGAACCAATTGTGAATTCTATGTTGATGATTCATCAGATGCACTTTTAAGTTCAAAATTCATTGACATGGATGAAAACTACTTTACACCAACAATGGTTCGTTACTATCAACTGGAAGAACAGGAAAAATTAGAAAGACGAAAAAGCGTTCCAACCCAAATGGAGGTTTGTATCATATTGTAATTCTGAATCCAAATTTTAGTAGTAATAATAATAATATTGCTAAATGTCATCTAGACACCTCCCCCTGGTTTTCTACATCCAGGGTCTTCACCTAAACACACAAATAGCCAATTAATTGTTGACATTCCGCCAATTCGAACACTTAGTCCATCTAGGTCAAATCCTGAAATTAAAGAGCATAGTTCTGGTCTTACATTTCCAAAAATTTACACACAACCTAGTTCAGGAACTCTTGGATCGAATTTATCGGCACCGTCTTTATTTTATAGGTCACCAGACTCAAGGCGTGGATCTCACACTTTAGAGCCTATTATGGCGAGTCCTACCTCACCGAATTTAGGAGTATTTATCCGAATAAAAATTGTCCCTTTTTTTATGGGTGCTTCTAGGCATCTCTCGCGGGAGATATATATCTCCATAGGGAGATGTATATCTCCTGCCAATAGCGATCCACAATTTAGTGCAACGTAACACGATCAAGAAAATTCAAAACAAACGTTCGTTTAAAGAAAAAATCGCTTATTTTTCAAAAAAACGCATAAGAAACCTACTTTTGTGCTCTAATGAAAAGTTTTCCTTGAGCAAATTCACTATGTAATCTACTTACCTCTAACCTTAATCTAATGCCATTCTAACGTAAATAGACTTTAAAGGATTCTGGGAGATATATCTCCCGCGAGAGATGCCTATAATTTCCCTTTTTTTATTTGTATTTAATTTCATGTTTATAACAATTATACACCTAATTTATTTAGTCATTATTTCCGACTTCGACAACACGTCCCACCGTCACGTTAGTGCAGCCTTTTAAATCTCCGTCACTTTCTTCTTCCCCAGTGAATCATCATGAGATAATGCCTCCATCTCCAACACTTTACGAGCGAACATCTACTTCGCCCTTGCATCGATCACCTTCACAACTTTCTTTTCAACAACGAAGTACAACAACAAGACCAGTGTCTATTGAGAGCGGTACAATACCAGCAATGTCCTCATCTGTGAAATCGACTTCTTCTGCTGGAAGTCCTAGTGGCATTCCAAAATTTTCTTCGAGCTTTACTAGCTTCACTCACCGATATGATAAGGCTACCGGCTCAACCACAAGGGAACGTGATGGCAGCTTCAGTAGTCGACGACGTTCAACAATTAGGAGTGACGGTTCTACCAGTGATAGAGGATCTATTTCAGTTAGTCATCTATATATTTGTTTTTTGTTTGTTATCTATGTTTAAAGGGGAAAAAACAATAGAATGAATAATTGACATCTCAGGTTGTATTTTCGTCGTTTTGCAGTCTTTCTTTGCAAATCCAGACGATGACGTAGGTGAATTTGTACGGATGGTAGATAGTCGAGAACCACTAAAAATGTTTAGCAGAAGTCCAACTGGTTCGGACGACACCGGTGGTTCAGCGCGTAATCTATCCGGCTCTGTATACCGAACTCAGGTATTAACATATATCATTAACTGTCATATATTTATGATAATCAAATGCATAGCTTAATGTGCTTTAACATAATATATAGCTACAACTTTCACGATTTCAAAAGTTGAAAGAATCGCACAAAAATTTATCAGAATCAATAACAGGTACAGGTGATGATATTATTACTGGTTCTCCTTCATCAGGAATTTCACTACGTGTTCATCAAGCGAAGGCGGATGATGACGATATGTTTTTTACAATGAGCGAATTTTCTGATGATAAGACTAATAGTGCTGTGAATAATGTTTCTGGTACAGATAGCAGAGGGGGAAAGTAAGGTCTTCGAAGGTATGGGGTGGATAAAGTGATTGTAATTGGTTCCAAAAAGCAATAAAGAAAATTTAACGACAGAAATATCAATATATTTTTGGGAGGCTAACGAAGTGAAATATGTGAACAATATTTGAGAAGGCGTTAGTAAGAATTAATGGCCGATTCCTAAATTTGTTATCTGAAGTAGAGGCCTGATCCGACGAATAATAAGTGGGAGGGACGTCCCAAAAAGGAAATTGGTGTTGACGTTCTGACCTTGCATGTCGTCTTGGCCAACAGAAATTGTGAATGTTGATAAGTATTAGAAGAAAACTTCGTGCCTTCTTACTGAAGTAGATGAAATTGTTACAGAAACAAATGATTGTATTAAATTTAGTTTTTCACTTGAACCTTTAATATTTAAATTATTGTCATTTTTTTCTTAAATATTAAAAATTATTTATATAAAATTTATGATTAATTCTTGCATAACATTAAAACAAACAAAAATATAGTATTTAATATATACGAGTATAAACCATTAAATTGTATAAATGCGAACAAAATGATGATCCTGGCGCAACCATCATAGATGATGAGGACCATGTATGATTATAATTTCATTTTTAATAATGAGTTAGGGTTGTTTTTGGGTTAAGGTTAAAAGTATGCATTATAGGTTCAACGTTTCATTGTAATAGTTTGGAATGGCCGTTTTCTTTCAATTTAATATTGATATTGATCAATTAGGTAGGTACGTACGTACGTGTTTAAATTTGACATATTCGATGCAGAAATATGTATTGTATAAGCTAGCATGTAATTAAAGTATACCATTGTTTGTATAGATGTAAGCTAAGAAAATTTACGAAAGTATGTATGATTAGCAAACCTTATAAAATTTATCTTTGATAAGTTAACCCTTTTAATAGTTAGGGTTAGGGTGAGTGCTAATATTGCCTTTTTTTCATGTTAGGTTTAGTATAGTTTATAATTAGAAATTCTTAAAGAATTTCTTTTACGAACTATACGTACATACTTTATTAATTATACATTACATATTTGCTACATACTCTCGATAAGATAACCATATAATGCTACGCGTTTTTCTGGTTCTAACACGTATCACCAATGATGATATTGCCGATCGAACGTTACTGTATAATATTAATAATTTTCGAACACCTTATTTTCATGCCTTTCTTGTAAACCGTCAATGGTGTAGAATTATTATACCAATATTATGGAGTGGGTTTACAAATTCTTTCAGTGATGAAAGATTTATAAGGATACTCCCTTTGACTTTAAATACTGGGGTCCATATCATTTTCCCGACATTTTGTTCTTCGACAGTTATTTTACCGACATCACATAGAGTGATGATTAATATTTAAGTCTGATGAAGATTAGGAATAGACTTTAAATATTAATCGTCACACACGTGATTTCGGTGAAATAATTGTCGAAGAAAAAAATGACGGGGAAATGATATGGTCCTGTTACACCTGAACTACCTCTTATTCGGTATAACTAATTTACTTTAGCGATGGTTATATTATACAGTTGATAACAAATACCGTGTTTTGCTTAAGTATAGGGTTTATTGCAGTTACGCTTTAAGAGGATTATGTGATTTGCAATTATGAAAGAGACAAACGGCTAAATGTACAAGTAGTTGTAACAATATGAGTTTACTCTTTAGTACTTGTTATGCAAGAAAAACTACTGATTCAGGGATAACGGCTATTTATACAGGTTTCTGCTCTATGAAAAAAACATACTGAAATTATTTTGAATTAATATTAAAATTTTTAGTATAAAATTCTGTATAGAATTATACGGAATTGACTGTAAACTTCATATCACATGATACAGAATATTTATACAGAAACTTTTTTTTTTTGGTTTTAAGGTGACCTCTTTGTCACGCTGTTCTTTATTTGAATATTAGTAGTATTTTTAATTGTTAGAACATTCCAATGGTTGTACATATTTGTAAAGTAGACTAGCCATATCTGTGTTTTTTGAGCACCTATTTAAGTATCTACCTATTACTAGGTTCTACACTAGATGCTATATCTGCATCCTAACTAAGGAGGTATCTTTTGTGCCTATGTATCAACCTTTTTATATCCAAACGATGATACTTAGTATCACCTTATTTTCACATGTTGGCTTAGGGTTTTAAAACAGTTTCTACTATTTTAGGGAGTTCTTTGACTTCGAGGTAAACCTGTTAGAGCCTTTTATACTTACATTTAGGCTGACCTAGACTTTGGTAACTTACATCTAGTTCAAGAACAGGTACTTGCAAGTTGAAGCCGTTACCGTTACCTACTTTTGCCCTTATAAAGTTCACTTATACCTCAGCTCTAATACTCATCTAATCAGAAACCCTTCCACTGTTTTACCAAACTTCCAATCCAGATAGCCCAGTTTGGTCCACAAGTTGCATTACCTGCTTTTTTACTGGCTTAACCTGGATACCGGTCTGTGCTCTTTTCTTCTAGTCGATTCTGGCGGCCTGGTTAGTATAGTGCTTGTTAAACACCTGGTTCTTATTCAGATCCACAGCTTATTAGTTCACTTCTTAAACTTTTTAGAACTGTTGAAAGTATGCAATATCTCTTTACTCAGGATTTGCCAAGCGGGTTCCTATTTGAGACTAGTCTATCAGATTTACACAGGTCACAGAGACTTATTATAGGTTTATATTACCTTTTATTGGTTTGTATCTTTTTGTGTAACTCCTCTATTACACAAATGTCCTATGATCTTCCAAGTATATATTATCATCTCCAATAGGGCTTGCAAGATAAGCCGTCTGTTAGATGATCATTATCCCTTGCATCTATTTGGTCTGACCATTGTTACAGGATCTATATCTCAACATCTAAATAGTTACCATTATACAGAAGAATTAGATTTTTTGTTGTCAATAGAAATTGAACTCTAGATGTACCACTTGGAAGGCAACAACTTGATTACTTCACTAAGTCGTCACACCCCTATTTATACAGAAATTTTTTTATTAATGATTTAAATAGTATATATTATATTAATTTTTATATATAATCAATATAGTTAAAGATAAGTTTGTATAAATTTTGTATATAATTATAGTTGAAGATAAGTTTTGTATAAATTTTATATATAATAAGTATAGTTTAAGATAATTTTTATACAATATGAGACAGTAAAAGACATCCAATCTATACATAGAGGTGCTAATTTTTGATGCTTATATAATCAATTCTGATTGGTTAATTTTTGTGTAATTGATTCTAATTGGTTGAAAATATCTATATATTTTCTTTTTTTCTATATTAAATGCCAATTTTTTGAACTCATATAAATTTTAATCCTTTATAACTTTTTTAAAACAAGGAAAAAAAATCTTCTGACAGAAATATAGTTTATCTAAAAATCTATCAATTTGTTAGAGGATTTTTTGATTTAGTTTGTTTTAAAAAAGTTATAACACTTTAAAGTTTTTACTAATAAATATTAGATGCGTTTTACTATTTGGTACTATATAAATTCTGTATACTATATAAAGAATTATCATTTAAAAACTGGCAAACTGAACAGGATCAAAGTATTTGACAAAGTATTTCATTAAGGAGATTTTCAAAAATCAGCTGATTTAGGAGTAAGTGGGTCAGTTAGTGTGTCAGATATAATTCTGGCTGAAATTATCAAGTTTCAGCCAAAATTAAAAAAAATTTTAGGCTGAATTATAAATTAATTAATACTGTAATTAATTATAAAATTTTAATTATTAATAACTTCTGATCTACTAAACCAATTTAAATAATTTAATTACTAAATGATACCCTTAATGAGAGGATTCTAAGAAGCCTAAAATTACAAAAATCTAATTACTAGATTCTAAAATAATATTAGATTTGTATTATTATAAATATATTTTATTTTAAATTGTTATATAGTAATATAAAACTATTTATATCTTAGCTTCTAGTAATTAGATTTTTATAATTTTAGATTTGTTAGAATTCTCTTAATGAGAAAATCATTTTGGTAGTTAAATCATCTCAATTGGTTTAGTAGATCAAAAGTTATTCAATATTTTATATTTATATAATTTTAATTATAAGTTTTAATAAATGTGAAATCTAATTGGCTGATTGGATATCAGATGGGGGTAGATGGGATGGGTTGAGGTAATCACTTAGTAAATCCTAATCAGCTGATTTCTGAAAGTCCTCTTACATGATATAATCTACAAGGTTTTAGCCAATCTCCAAAAAAGAAAAATAAATCAGAGCAGCATTCAATGAAAAATATTGATTTACATATCTGCAGATCAGTTGAGTCAAATCTGCCCATATACAAAGTTGACCAACTAAATATTTGTCAATTCAATAAGCTTTGATTGATTCAGATATAATTGCATCTGAATCATAGCTATTATTATAATTTCTAGTACATTTGCTTATTATCTGAAATTTTTTTAGTTATTTGGTAAATTATCTAACTTTTTAAAAACTATATTGCTGTCTTCGGACTCTCAGTTCAGAAGCAATATTGTAATTTTCAAAAAGTTATAGCTATTATTATAATTTCTGAGATACATACTTATTACTTGAAATTATTGTCTCTAAATTGAAGGTCTGAAGATAGCAATGTAGTTTTCAGAAAGTTGGATAATTTACCAAATAATCAAAAAGATTCAAATAATGAGTAGATATTTCAGAAATTATAATAATAGCTGTAAATAAATTTACTAAACAACCAAAAAAATTTCAGGTAATAAGCAGATGTTCTAAAAATTATAATAATAACTGCAAAAGTTTATTACTACTAAATCAAAGCTTATCAAATTGACAAATATTTGGTTAGTCAACT